CGATTCAATGTAAGGAGCCCAGGAAAGATAATGTAGCGAGTATGAGCAAGATATCGGTGAACGACATTTAATTTACAAGAATTTCAAGTGATACAATGGCGCAGAGCTGACGCGGATCAAAGCCTTCCGCATTATAGGTGCGGGGTTGTAGAGGTGTCCAGTTGTGCGTTCACGTGATGGTTGTAGTAGGTCGCTTCACTTACTTGCAGGTGTTGACTACGCCTTGCGCCCATTAGCCGGCGCCCAACTCCCAGATGTGACTCCTCGAAGCTAGGCACTGCCGAGCGGCCACACTGGTAACCGCCTCGACCGGCGGACTAAGCCAGCTCAAGGCTTTCCTGCGTCGTGTGCGTCCACACACCCGGTAAATCTGCCTACCTTACTATCCCTACTTCCTCCCTCCACACCACTTCCCCCATTCTCAGCCCCCTCCACTGCCGGTATGACCAGCCCCTACCCACAACCCTCCCCCCATCTCCCCTTCTCGCTCCTCTTCCCCTTTCCCCTCTCCATCCCCCAACTCAACTCTCTACTCCCTTCCCCACGGTCGAAAAGATCTACGGCAAAGGCGACAGGGCCAGGGCCAATCGGACCGCAGCCCCACTAAACCAATGCCTAACCAATAGTGGAGTTCAGCGTACTTCTGGTGCAAATCAGCACACCTATTTAGGGACAGCCCTACCTTCTTCGTCAGGGGAAGGGAGCTAGAAAAGAAGACATTAACAACGTTGGGTTCATGACGTCTGCACGCATGCCGTCGATCACAGATAGCTAAACATGCGATCGAAACAATCAAACAGGAAAAAATACTCTCTCTCTTTCCCGCCCACCGTCCCCTCTGTCCCCATCGCCAGACTGGTAGGATGAGTCCGCTCACAATGGCCCGTTCCTTCTAAGAACCTGCACAGAATACTGACTCACCCTGACGAACACCTTCTTCCGCTTCCCTATGCGAGAGAAGGCCACTTGGATGCACCCTCGATCGCGACACTGGCACCTGATGGACTATGTCCCCGTCCGGAGGCGAGACCAGCAGGACGTGCTGGTGACCATGGCGATTTCGGGTGCTGACGGGTGGACCGACAATCGCCTTGTCATCTCCGAGATGCGGATTCATCTGCAGTCTCGCAGGAGACTCCAAGGTAGGCGACCACCAGATGAACTGAATATTAGTTTGTTGTCTTTGCCTGATCACCATCTCCATCTCAGTAATGAGCTAGCTCAGCGACTAGCCAACCTCCTAGTCGTCGCCATTGCTGACGAGAACGCCTCTGTGGAGAACCAATGGCGTCAACTGTGGGATACAGTCCAGTCAACAACCCTGGCTGTCCTTGGTCACGCATGATGCCAACACCGGGACTGGTCGACGACAATGACGCCGCCATCAGCAACCTACTTGCCGATAAGAACTAACTGCACAAAGCTTACGTCACTCTCCCCAGCGCAGTCGTGGCTTTGTGCAACAGCGGCTGCGGAAGACGCAGTACGCTTGGACGGCTCGCAAGGCCGAGGAGATTCAAGGGTACGAGGACAGCAACGAATGGAAGAGCTTCTTCTCCGCGATCAAGGCTGTCTAGGGTCCGCCAGCCAAATTTATTGCATCTATTCTCAGCGCGGACATCAAGACCCTACCCGCTGAGAAGACACAAATTCTACAACGATGGGCCGAGCACATCCGAGGCGTCCTCAACCGTCACTCCATAATCTCCGATGCCGCTATCGCCTTTCTGCATCAAGTGGAGGCCGACGCCGATCTCAACCTACCGCCCTCTCTCCACGAAAGCATCAGGGTCGTGCAGCAGCTCTCTGGCGGGAAAGCGCCCGGATCAGACGCGACCCCTGCTGTGATCTACAGGCACGGTGGCCACCAACTCATGGATTATCTGACAGCGCTCCCACGGGAGACATGGCGTCAAGGAGAAGTCCCGCAGGATCCGAAGGACATCGAGGCATCTCCTTGCTGAATATCGTCGGGAAAATCTTTGCTTGCATTCTCCACGACCGCCTAAATAATTACTTAGAATAGGGTCTTCTGCCGGAGAGCCAGTGCGGCTTCCGCCGTCATTGCGGGACCACGGACATGATCTTCGTCGCCTGTCAACTTCAGGAGAAGTGCAGGAGATGCGGACCCACCTCTACTCTGACTTCGTGGGTCTGACGGAAGTCTTCGACACATTGAATTGCGAAGGACTGTGGAAAATCGTGCAGAAATTCGTCTGTCCAGAAAGATTTACTTAGATGGTGCATCAACTCCACCAGAGCATGATGGCACGAGTCACGGATCATAGAGCTGTCTCAGAGGCAGTGGCAGTAACCAACAGAATGAAGCAGGACTGCGTCCTTGCGCTTACCCTCTTCACTCTCATATACTCTGTCATGCTGATGGACACCTACCATGATGAACGCCCCGGGATCCGCATCGCCGACAGTACGGATGGTCAACTGCTCAACCACGGGAGGATGCACTTTCAATCGCGTGTCTCCACAACCACCTTCCGCGAACTTCTGTTTGTCGATGACTGCGCCCTCAATGCAACTACATGCAAAGGAGCATGGATCTCTTCTCTGCCGCCTCCGACAACTTCAGTATGGCCATCAACACGGAGAAGACAGTGGTAATGCACCAACCCCCATCCAACACTACCTATAATGCGCCGCAATTCTGTAAGTCATTGACCACTTCACGTACCTGAGCACCAACCTCTCCGCAACACTAACATCAACGACGAAGTGGCCCGCCGAATTTGCAAGGCCAGTGAAGCCTTCGGTCATCCTCAAAACACGGTTTGGAATCGTCACGTTCTCTACGTCAGCACGAAACTGAAGATGTACAAGGCCGTCATTCTACTGACGTTGCCGTATGGAGCAGAGACTTAGAGGGTGTACATGAAGCAGGCACGCAGGCTCCATCACTACCATCTCAGTTGTCTTCGCCTAATACTGAAGCTGAGGTGGCAGGACCAGATCCCAGACACGGATGTACTGCAACGGACGGGAATCCTCAGCATATGCGCCATGCCAAGGCAACTGAAACTACGCTGGAACGGCCACCTCTTACAGATGCACGACGAGAGGCTCCCCAAGCGACTCTTCAATGGAGGTGTGGCCACGGGTTCCCGCCGCCAAGGGGGCCCAATCCGTCGATACAAGGGCACACTGAAGGCCTCCCTGAAGCGTCTGCAGATCAATCCGGCCAACTGCGAAGACCTCGCTCGAGACCGACCTACCCGGAGGAGGACAGTGACGACTGGCGCAACGATCTAGGTAGCCAAGCGAGAAGCACGCAAATCTCAGCTGTGCCCACTTCGCAGCGCCAATGCCCAACCGCTCCCGACGGTTCCACGGTGTCAGCGGACATTTCGGACACCAATCGGACTTGCTGTACAACTTTGGACCAGCTGCAGCGCTCGGACTGCACTAACCGTCTATCCGTCCACATTTTCCTCGATGCCCATGCCGTCAAATAACTCTGACGGCCCTCCTGAACCACAACTTCCATCCTCCTCCTACTCCTCTCTTCTTCCTCCTCCTCCCCCTCCCCCTCCTCCCTCACTGCCTCCACGCCTGCCGTTGGGGCATCTGATGCGCACATCAACATTAAACACAATCCTGACACACCAACAAACACTAACCTAACTACGGTCGACACAAGTGGTGGGGACCTGGTCTACACCTGCCCTCATTGCAACCGCACCTTCACCTCACACATCGGTCTGGTCGGTCACTTGCGAATCTATTGCACAAAGACTGGAGAACCAGCGCACGAATCGCCAACCTACACTTGACGCACTCGCCTTCGCTGTCCACACTGCCCGCTCACATTCATACACCGCAGTGGCTTATTCGGACACATGTGTGTTCACGAAAACCTGCGGTAGACAACCACCGTCTGAGCCACACCATTGCATCCTCCCTTACCAGCATCTCATCGCACATCAGCATCACCCACCACAACCACCCAAATTCCACCTCATGCGCAAGTGGGAAGTGTGCGTCTTGATTCCGTATCCGTGCGACTCCCTAGCTGTATGTGTGACTCGAGACTGAGACTATTATGGCACGTCAAGCGCCGGGGCTTGGAAGGCTGCTGACTGACGCCTCAACTCAGTTCATGCAGTCCGTCAAGTTATGTGTGTGTTTGTGTGTATAGTGGCGGACTGGTGGGCTGAGAGCCAGGCTGAGACAGCTCCTTCTAAACGTAACCTCAGCACTTTCACACATGTGAGGTGTACGTCGCTCAACCACCGTTGTGCGAAATCCTGGTGCCTTTGTATTGGGGGTTAGGTCGGGCGTGTGGCACGCGCAGACAAGGTCACTAAATATGTTAACCACCGCGACTATGCCCTACATCAGTCGACTGACCGGCTCGGACAGTGGCTGGGGCCTAGGAATAGGAAGGGAGAGCGAGGCCGACGACTCAGCGCATTTTCTTTACTATAAGCAATCTGGCGCGCTTGAAGCTATCACGGTGCGCAAAGAGTCGTGGCTTGCCAACTGACGGAATAAACTGGACCTCGCAGTCGGCCTAGTACTGTGTGTTTGGGTGGAGTGGTCGGTTGGCAGCTCAAGAGTCAGGCTGCAATGGTTCCTTCTTAATGTGGCCTTATAACAATCCCACTCCGTAGGATCCGAGCCGGGTGTGGTGGCACGCCTAGGTGCGGGTCCGGTCGTGCCAGCCACCTGAGCTCTCCCCCCGCCTCCGGTCTTCTTGACTCTGCCTTTCTAGGTCAAAAGGTCTGAAAGTGTGTTCTATGCCAGTATCGCCAAACCGTGTTCCTCGCAGCCTGGTATGTGCTGGCAGTTGCCTGGTACCGGGTCCCCTGCTGGTAGATGCGCTTACGTCCCCGATGGGTATACAGGTGGTGGTCATGGCTGCTCAGTCATCCTCGTTCTTCTGACTCCTGTTGGGGTGTTGTTGTTGTTGTTGTTGGTGAAAAGTTCTGGTTAGACGCATGTTGTGGACCAGGGGGTGTGGTCGCACGCCTAGGCACGGGTCCGGCCGCGCCAGCCACCTGCGTCCTCCCCCACCTTCGGTCCTTTTGACTCTGTCTTGGCACCAGGCCCAGGTTGGGGGGGGGTGGGAGGAGAGGGTGCAGCAAATGCTGCGCAAGTCTACTACCACTATAAATTAATTCGCGCTCAAGTCGCCGTGTCGGCTGCACCTAACTGTGTAGCAAACGATGGGCAGCGTGGAAATCGACGGTCGAACTGTCGCGTTTGTGTGTACCCCTCAAATGAGCCACGTGTTAGATGCGCTGGACCTGCGCGGTGGCCATATCGGATCCTAACAGGTGCTAACGAATTTGAGCATCATAACAAATGCCAACATCAAAGGAAAAGGAGGCGTTCACCGGGAGAGGTGTATTGGAGGTCTGAAGTTTCGAGTAGTCGTTTCATCTACCCATCTTCAGAGGCTGAGAAATCATGCACACAGCTTTCCATATATGGCGCACTTTGTTTGATGCCTGGCCCGCAAATGCCGCTTGTGTGGCTGCATCCGATCCGACTCAATAATCCGCCGGCAAGTGATGCGACCAAAAGACCCGATCCCCAAGCAGGAGATGTCGGTCGTTGTCTACCGGCTTCAGTGCAGCTGCGAGAAGTTCATCTACGTTGGGGAAACCGGTCGACGGCTGCAAATGCGAATGCACGAGCATAAGTTGGCCATTCGAAGGTTGGACCCAACGCCGGAGGTAGCAAATCATGCCGCGCAAATGGGACACATCTTCAACTTTGAGACTGTTGGAATTGCGGGCCAGGACAATGATTATACGGCAAGGTGGGTGCAAGAAACCTGGATGTCTACCGAGTGTTCTATCAACCGCCACATTAAGTTGCCTCTCCCCTATCTGGTTTTACGGACATACTTGACGGGGGACAGTCACGGCGCGGGACAATCAGGGCCGTCAGTTATCGGCGCGGCCGACGAAGATGGGCGGGATTCAGCTCACGGTGACATGCGGGTCAGATGCAGCCACACAGGCGGCATTGGTGGGCCAGGCACCAAACAAAGTGCTCCATATAAGGAAAGCTGTGTGCATGAATTCTCAGTCTCTGAAGATGGGTAGAAGAAGCGACTACCCGAAACGTCAGACCTTCAATGCACCTCACCCGATGAACGCCTCCTTTTCCTTTGATATGCCAACTGGGAATCGCACTTTCACTACTATTGAAATGCCAACATTTCGGGGTGCGATGGCAGACCCCGGTTGCCGACTGGGACCCCTGCCCCCGCCCATTGTCTTTGTTGGTAAGAAAAAACCTCGTTATTGGCTGTGTAGACCAGGAGGTGGGGAGTGGAACGCCAAGGTGCGGGCTCTACCGTGCCATTCACCTGTGCCCTCCCCCGCTCCCGGTCTTCTTGACTCTGTCTTGACACCGGGTCCAGGTGGGGAGGGGGTGAGAGAGTGCGGTAGATTCTGTTCAAGTCTTATATCATTATAATCCAATTCACGCGCAAGTCACTGGGCCTGCTGCACCTTACTGTGTAGCATACCGCGGACATTGTCGGAATCGACGGTCCAGCTGCTGATGGTACTTTTGTGCTAGTTTTCAGCATGTCCATTTTCAGCATATGTTAACTCGAGTGAGGGCTTCTGCGCGTACACTCCCAGACATAATGAGAACGTAATCACAGAGCTTGAAATCGAGCCAGTAAGTACAATTGTAGAATCAGTGGGCAGGGCTACCAACTACCATCCTACCAGGAACTGGGCTAAGTTTCTTTTTTTTAACTTTTAAATCATACTCCCTGGCGACGATTACAGGTACACCATTGGTTACCCAGACAGACTTCCATTGCAATCTTATTAGCATACCTAGCATCTAGCAGGTAGAATCGAACTTAAGGAAGAAACTGCCAGGTGAGAAGACTTGATGCCCTCGTTCGTTTCAGCCCATCTGTTACATGTTTAAGTGGGTGTGGCCGTCTAGTAGAAAACATCATAGTGGCGCCAGAGATGAGAGCTGGTTATCAGAACGGGACGGTGTAGAACTATCAATCAGGCTCTCATATGCGTTCGCAAGGACCGGTCAATCAGATCTAGAGTCACAACGGTCACAACAGAAGTCTCCGCTCATGACACCCCGCACACCTCAACTGGGATCTAATGAGTATTCCGAGGGTATAAACCATAAGTGGTGTAAAACCAAACGCCGATCATCAAGAGACCTATAATGGGCTGCATCGAGTTTTATAACATTGATAGCGTTGATAAGACTGATGTAATATGAATAACTCTAAACAGGGTGGACTCAGAAGTACACCACAAAACCTCTAACACGCTTGTGTACAAAAAAATTGTGCCATCATGAACCACGTCTCCATGTCATCTATGGGCAACCTAGGCCATAAGCTCAATTGGCATGGCACTGGAATAGAAACCTCCTTCCCTGTACTGTAGAGAGCTTCGCACTGCCGCTGTTTTGTCCGAGATGGGTACCTATTACGGTGTCCCAACCCTGGTTCAAACACTAGCCTTCGTCCAAATCTCAACCCTAAACCTGACCCCTATCTTAATCTCGCTGGAAGTTAGTGCAAGGCCACTTGTATTACGCGGATTCTTATTTCTGTGTCTCACCGCTCAATTATTCTTACTGTGTCATGTGTAGAAGAGGCGAGACTTCTCTTTCTTCTATGTCAGGGCATCTGAGCACCAACTGTGCCTGTTGAAACTGTCAGTATCTTCAGAAGCAATGGAACATTTGACCTCTGCTCAGCGATACCCATCCATGCCTACAACGTAGGACAATCAGTAAGTCTGATGAAGGCCAAAGTGAGATCTGGGAGACAGGTGTATGCATGGGGAAAAAATCCGTTGCTGAGACAGTTTTCATCACAAAACACAACGTGGTATGCAAAAAGTGGGGCAGGGATCTTCGTCTTCTTTGGAGCCCAGCTCCGACAGTTTATGACATCGCCAATCCGCGCACTGACAAGAGTCCCTTGATTGCAGGACACATTTTACACCTGGGCACTGCGTGTTCCTACATTCGCCAAAGCTAACACGCTGTCATACTGCCAGCTCGGCTCTGTGAGTGACTTCTGGCTTTTCTACACGTTTTCCTAATGCTGCTTAACCAGCTTCGTTAACGATCAAACAGAGACTTCCATCCCTGACCTAAATGTCAGGACCTGGTCCGTCTCTGTGTAGTCCGGTGCGTATGTGAAGATTTATTTACCAACTCAAGGTACAAGCATTAGTCAAGAGTCTATTCACGTACCACGTCGATTTTGTATCACTACATGAAGTAGCAGCGAGGGCTGCGGCTCATCGGTAACTCCCCCCAGAGAACCCCTTGGGGGTTTGGTCTATCAGAATTCCACTGAAGCCTATGCTTCAAGAATCCCTAATGTGCCTTCCGCGTAGTAAACCTAATTGTTGTTGATCTGTCATGACGAGAGATGTCGTCGCATGAGAAGATTCTTAATTGCTGAAACAGTGTGGTTCTCCTTCGGACTGAGCGTGTGACTATAAAAACACCTTCTAATGCTGTCTTTATGACATTAATCTATTAATAACTACTCGCATCCATCCCCACCTAATTTTAACTCTTATTCGTGCACGCGCAGGGGCTATAACTTGCGTGGCCGTATGGATGTGGATTTAATCAAGTCAGTCATTGTCCTCTTACAATCGCCGCTCGCCATCATGCTGCCTTGCTACTTTTAATTGCCGCATGCGGCAACTTAAGCCATAGGAAGACAACAGCCACTACCATCTTCAGACCCTGTTCCCAATAGGAGGAGAAGTTGGACGTCCGCAGATAGAGCACTGTTTCTGTACACAGTAATTCCATACTAAGTTGGAGGAAGTTAGCAGCTGGAAGAGGACACAATGTCGCCGTAAGAGCAAGCGTTCCGAGTACCAGTTGGACAGGCGTCGGAGCACAGTTAGTGAAGACATGCGTGAGTCGACCTTGAAGTTGACTGACTGATTTAGGTAGCTGTGATTGGTCGAGAGCCAGTCACTGGTACGCGAGTGTAAGGACGCATGAAAGACGCGGCGCTATGGCAGGCGCCCGGAGTGGGACCTCTACAAAGATGCCGTCAAAGTTCTCATAGCTCCGAACCAATTCATGCGCCGGTCACTGCTGCAACCTCAAAACAGTGGCGGTCGTCGTCGTTTGTGATGTATGAACTCTCATCACCAACCTAAAACATCTTCCTACCAGTCAACGGGTGGGCCACAACTAGCCGTAATGTCCCCCACTCCTGGGGGAGCCCATTTTTAAATTCCTAGTGGTGTGTCGTATATGTAAAAATGTCGTCTTGCGTCATGGGCCAGAGTGACTAAATTTACAAGAGAACCGAAGCCGCTGTATACGCGTATAATGATGTTTCCCTCCCCCCCCCGCCCCCGCCAAACACACACGCTTCATTACCTCGGAGCAACAGAGATATTGAAATACCCAGAACTTGCGGAAACCGTGGCAAACCTACAGTCAACACAATAAGTGCGGAATGTAAACATGCTGCCTTTGTCATGTGACATTAGACAATTTAACACTTTGAAGGAGTTTCCACAAATGAAAGATAAATAACCGTTGACGGCCAAGTTCTGTGGCCGTAAGCCCCCAGCTTATTCCCCGTCGGCTTTCGATCAGCCCACAACACTGCCTAAACCACGCGCGATCCAGCTGCCAGGCGCTGCGAACGCGTGACGCCGATCGTTAATTCTGCTCTCGAGGTCTGACTGAGGGCTAGCTTGACTCGGGTACTCGCTCACACTTGCACCGACTTTAGCAGCGCCTGAGGATGACTCAGTGCGGTGCCTTCGCTACCGAGCTGTTTGTCGCTCACTGCCACAGTAAGGACTGCGCAGACAAGTCTGATTTTAACAACTCATCATTGTTGGCTTTCGCACACTGAAAAATCCTGACCGTTATCAAAACTAAATTATTTGGACATGTGTAATCGGATATGGTCTATGAGTTAGGCCAAGACCTCGTTGATGTGAATATCGGCGCGAAAATTCGTTTGAGCTGAACAGTTACAACGGTCGACGCCTGGCTTAAAGCACGCACCATCGTTAGCAAAGGCACCAGCATAGTGGCAATAGAAGTAGTGGCAGTGATAGCAGTAGTGACGGTAGTAGTAGTAGTAGAAGTAGTAGTAGTAGTAGTAGTAGTAGTAGTAGTAGTAGTGGTAGTAGTAGTAGTAGTAGTAGTAGTAGTAGTAGTAGTAGTAGTAGTAGTAGTAGTAGTAGTAGTAGTAGTAGTAGTAGTAGTAGTAGTAGTAGTAGTAGTAGTAGTAGTAGTAGTAGTAGTAGTAGTAGTAGTAGTAGTAGTAGTAGTAGTAATAGTGGTAGCGACTTCGGCAACATCAGTAGGGAGGTTGAATGGATCGTTTTAACAAGTATCCCGGGATTGTAATCTTTATGTTTCAGCACCCTGATCCCGACAAACCAAAATTTGTTTTTTGGTTATTTAGTTGAGAATCGCAACAAGGGTCTTCTAAGTTTCATTGGATATAAGTAGTAAACACATTTTTGTGATTTTGCGGAAGGTTAGAAGCTCTTTCTTAGAAGAGGTCGGCGACTTTAAAAAGACAATTAGCTCAAACAAACTCAGCGGAAAATAAGTTGAAATATGAACATATCACAATTCGCGAATGAGTCTCTTACCCCTCTCAGTTAAAGCGAGACCTTTTAGGTACCCTATGCAACGATAGGGTATGGAAATTCGCAGTTTAAAAATTGAAAAATATTTATGTAGTCATTGCAAAGCTGCTGGTTATGTTCCTCCAAACTCTTCGGCATATCATATGGTATTGACTCTGAATAGCCCATACTGATTTTCGGACGCACCAGAGATCCTTCAGTCTCGAATTCGACTTCCGGTCTGGAGCTCTTGAAGCCGACAGTACAATTATTGGAAAGGACAGAATGGAAACAAGGAAGACTGGGATGGTTAGTCGGGGCATATTTTGCAGGTTCTGCCGGCCTCACCTCAATGTGGGGCCGTGCTAGAACACGGACTTTGTTGTTACTGAACGTCAGGTCAGGCTTTCGATCATATATTTGTGATTTTGGCACCCCAATGCCTGCGATAGGGGATGACAGTCCACTTACAAGTGACTTTCACCTACTTATCCTATGTTAGGGACTAGACACCGACGACCCCGCTGCTCTTTTAAGGTACTTTCTAGAGCCTAGAAAGTAATAAAATAATAATTAACAGCCAGTAAACGTTAAGGTTGTCGAAAAAAAACAAAGAAGATCCTTCTGTTATATGTTGCAAAACCAAGTTGGCGAACATACGTCTGCTTTCGATAAATTCTCTTCAGGCCTGTACATTTATATGGCTATTGAAGTAATTACTTAAAAGATACGGGCAAGTAGATAATTAAGCTGTAGCTCGGGTTTGGGGAGGGGAGGGCAGGACAGGGGAAGAGTGAAACACTACAATTCCAGTCAACGCCAGGGAGGTGGGTCCCGGCGAAGGTACTTACATGGGAGGTGCTGGCTTGGTGGCTTTAACCCACGGCAATTGTGGGACCTGTACGAAGTACTTCTGTGCGCAAAGGACCGGTCCGCGTAGCCTGATTGCAGCCGCCTCTACCGTAGCCAACAGGCGCTGCCCAAGTAGTTTTGGCTAGTTTTATGGGACTCGCTCTGAAGGCCTCTGGCGCCTACATGGTGGTCTTTAGCTAACATGTGCGCGAGGATGGAGCTGTTGATGTTCCACAGTTGCCATGTTTCAAAGTCACCAAGCCAGCCACCCGCATGTAATTTCCTTCGCCGGGACCCATCTCCCTGACGCTGACTGCAAGTGTGGTGTTTCACTCTCCCGCTCCCCTCCCCTCCCCAAACCCGAGCTACAGCTTAGTTATCTACTTGCCCGTATCTTTTACTTCATTACTTCTATGGTCATATAAATGTACAGGTCTGAAGTGAATTTATCGAAAGCAGACGTATGCTTGCCAAATTGCTTTTGCTATATGTTTGTTTTTATGTGTTTCCAAAGTCCCTTGTCATTTCTTAAAAGGAAGGTCAGCAACACTGCTTGTCAATCAAATGAAGTAGATCACTGGAGGACAACTCAAGGTTCCCTGTTTCACATCGGCCTTCGGGCTTTGTACTTGCCATACACATGACAGTTCAAATGGTCGAGCTGCTGGCTTAAAGACTAACTGGACTTGATTTTAAGCCCCGACTCTTCCCACGTACTGAAATCTAAATTGTTGGTGGTAATTACAGTAACCCCTCAGTATATCGCACTTTGGCCTTCGCGGTTTCACTCTATTGTGGATTTTTGGCTGGTTTGTGGATTTCCGCAGCAAATGGGCCTTTTTTCTCCTGACAGCCGTTTACTCAGTGGATTTGTACAACTGTTTTCATACCAGGATTACTGAGGAGCTACTCAAACACAGCACACAGTTAAGTATCCTTACTTCAAAAAAACTTACCTGAAATCTAAGGGAGTGCAAAGGGTTCATGCTACATAACTGTGTAACGATGCTTACAGAAATGTGGGGTTTTTAAGGGTTTAAGGCATGTATAAAAATAACCGTAGTGAAATATGGTTTCTACTTCACGGATTTTTACTGTCTGCGGAAAGTTCTGGGACGCAACTTCCGCGATCGAGAAGGGGTTACCGTATATGCTAACGTTGGACGTCCCACGTTTCTAAAGTCGATGCGGCCAGTAATATCCTGGGGCTAGAAAATACCGTAGGTGGCCTGTCTCTCCGTTTCTGGCCAGGCAGCTTAAGGCTGTTCAAATGCCATGAGCATCTGTTTCTTCCAACTTTGCAATTTTAATGCTGGCGAAAAGGCGGAAACTTTAAAGTGCTTCCCTGGAGGAGGCCACAGTAGTCTGTGACCAGTGTTGACGGATGAACCACATCATCTGGAAGTTGAGATGTCCGTGGCTCCGGGTTATAATGAGCCTACTTTCGATGCAGCTTTTCTTATAAACTCTAGCACCACTCCTGTGTAGTCGACGGTGGCAGCCTTAGGTCACTAAATACGCATTAACGGTTGGTTGGGTCAAAGTTCAGAATGAGTGCATCTATAGACCTCTATTTATGCTTAAGCTAGGTCTGGGGCGCAGGTTGCGATCGCAAACTGATACAGTTACACAATGCACCTCTGGAAGCCGTTACTTCTAGTCTTTATTTTTCATCTTCTCCGCCAAACAGACGCAGGCCCTGTTCTCAGTCAGCAAATTGCTCCCCACGAGGTAAAACAGCAACGGCTGAGACCAGCGGAGGATGCCAGTGAAGGAACACAGCACCCTCGGACGGTTAGTCCCTACAGGCGGGCAGAAACGCGTTTGGTTCAGCGTCATATAAGGATCCACCGGCGTTACTCATAGACCGTAATGTTAGATTATCAACAAGCAGCCGTTGCTAAATCCCTGTTGATATATGTGTTTCTTCGGCTTTATGGAATTTAAGCCCGCCTTGCAGCAATACATTTGTCGTGCTGAGGTCAGTGCACCGCCGCCGTCACCGCAGGTTTTCGTTGTTCTTCAAGCAAGCTGGTATGTTTAGCCGCTCATTGTAAATCCCCATTCAGTCCCCTCCCCCTGATATGCTCCAAAATAAAGTCGAAATAATATCAGGGTTTTCTCATCTTCATATTGCAGAGCTCATACGTGGATCTCGCCGTATGCGTGTGAATAACACGGTCGAACACGCTGGACGCCACCGGCATGCCGCCTTACATTCGCCTTCTTGGGGGATCTAACAGCCAACAGTAAACTGTGTGTGCGCGCTGGCATAACATCGTCTGCATTGGACTATTTACTGCCGTAAAACGGTAAGGTTTTACAGTGGCACGAAACCAGGATTTTCTCAGTGTGAGAAGTGGTAAATATCTGGCACAGCAGGAGCCACCGCGCCTTCTTTCTCCCAGAGCATGCACGTATCTTCAATTTATTTAATAAACAAGTGGTCGCAAGCTACGCAGGCCTTCCCTCTTTTCGTCTGTCATACGCGGAAACCCTAGTCGGTGTTTTCAGTATTTAGATTTTGCTCTCCCCAGAGGCCCTGCTTATACGTTCGTTAGACCAAATCAACCAATGCAGGTTATCCAGTTCTTTTCTAAGCGTATAGTCTCTGCTGTAATAACGAAAGTTCCGGTAGAGGAGAGTTTGGGTACAGTTTCTGTCATGAACTGGAGGACGGCTACTTCCGAAGATTTAGAATGAACTTAGCATTAGATCCTTTTCTACAAGAGGTTTTTGCAATGCTGCTATCCTGAGCCCCTGTATGTCCACAACCAAAAACGACAGACTGTCTTCTGCTGCAACTTCACGAGGGCTTTCCATAGCTGCGAATAAACCGTTCCACCTCTAATGTAGTCATTGAACTTCGTAGTTCCTTATAGTTCTAAAGGTGCCGCCCATGAAGTGCAGCCACACTTTGAGTATGGTTCCTAATCATTGTAAGAACGTTCAACAAGTAGACATGATAATGGCGAGCTCATTGTGCTCCCCTGACCTGGTGGTGTTACATACTATCGATATGATAGTAGTCCCTGAGACAGACTGAGCATTTTCACACGCTGCATTGAGAGGAATTGCTTAGGCTGTCAGACACAGTCACAAAGCCCCATGCACAATGAAGTAGTCGTACAAAAAATCGTCTTCCTGCCTTGTATTCAAGGGACCTCTTGAGATAACGCCAGGCAGCTAATTTGTTTTGGTATCGGCTTCGCCTCCAAACTAGAATACTCACTGCGCGCAGTATTATCTTGAACAAATGTTCCCCTCTAAAGTGCGCCAGACAGACTTTGTTACTGCATCCCATGCGATAATTGTTCCTGAGTGTGTTGGCTATACGGGTAGATACCTGGGCACTCGTATTAACGAAAACAATATACCTGGTCGTCAGCATGACCCACCAGTCTTTGCGCACACACTAGAAAGTGGTCACTAATTCAATCGGGATGACATTGATGCGGTCCCCGTGGCCAATATAAAACGGGTGCAAGAGGTTCTCGAGAATCGGTACACCAAAAGAAAAAGTATCGACCACAATTTCAACCTGGACGTTTGCTACGGCGGTCTACGCGCAAGGTTAACGCCCCGCCGAACCCATGCCAAATCAGGGACCAGTAATCCACATCCGTATGTCTACACTCTCACTGATCCACTATCTTCCCTCTCCCTCAATACAGCAGACTACAACCGTACCCCCGACCCTAGACCTATCGTAACGCTATGCCCGCCCTTCGCACACACTGGTACACCGTTCATGTAGCCACACTGGCCTCAGATGCTCTAGTGTGATAAACCTACTTTTCGCATATTCATTTTTTTCTGACGGAACGTTGGTGTCACCAATCTGAAAACTTACGACCGACAACCAACTGTAGCCGTTCCTTTCTAGTATATCGACTCTGGATGCACCGACTGGCACAATGAAGAGCCTTCGCAGGCAATTAAGTGGCGGTTGGCGATATATGTAGAAATTAACAAGCGTCAAAGATAAGGGGGACTGGGATGACCATCTCCGACTTTCTCACTGTCGTCAATCAGCCTTACCTAAATCCAGGATTATAGGACATGGGATTCGAACCTGGATTATTTGAGCGTTGAACGTCTTAAGTCCAACATTCTACCATTGAGCCACCTGCTCCTTGTCCCATCGGTTTTTCTGACTTAAGACGGTCAGGAACAAAAGAATTCGGGTTGGACCTTTGTGGTCAGACGAATGTGGTTCCGGGTAGGGTGGAGCGATCACGACGAAACAGCCTCAGTATTCTATTCTTACTTTTTTACTTGCCACTCTAAACTGATTAATAAAATACACCAGGATGAGCCTAGTCTCAGCTATCCGCACTGTTCAAACAGACTCAATCATCGCATTGGCCTACTCGGTCGCATGCGCCTCCACGGAAATCGATGGTATAAGTGTGTTTTTGTGAGTGTCCACTGTGTCTCTGTCAGATAGTAACGAGGGAGTTGCGCTAGACCGACATGGGAACCAGATTAGGGTACAGCACGCATAAAGAACACCATACATGTGAACACGCCTAAGCGCGGACACACACTGAATCCGGTCCCACACCCAGTCTTCTTTAATCTCTCGTGATGCCTGGCTCAGGAGGGTAGGGAATGGTAGAGCGCGTTAAATGCAACGCAAGTCTTCTATCATCAAAAACTAATGCATGCGCAAGTCCCTGTCCATGCGTCCTTCTGCAGTGAGGAACACGACAAGCATCGTCAGAAGCGATGGCCGAATTTCCGTATGCGTGAGGGGTGCTTATGGTTGTTTCATTGGGAGGCAAACAGTGTAAGCGTGGTAGGACGGATCATTTGCCTAGTGCACGTGGTGGCTACTCCACACGGCCCTTAACTGGCACCCGACTCATCTGTAGCTCCACAAACCTAGACTCTGCCCAGTGGCCGCAGCCCGATAACTGTCTCGACCGGAGAGCTAAACCAGATGCGGATAGCCCCTATCGTATTTGTCCACACACCGCGCTATGTAAAGCTTAAATCACCCACCTGGTGGACGTAAACAAAGCCACTTACTTTTGATGTCGCCACCTTGTTTAGAAACGGCTGTGGGACATGCATGACAGTTCAACCATCGGTTTCGAGGATGTCCACCTTGTGCCCCACAGTTGCAGCAGCAATGGGAGCAGGGACGGTGACTTACGCAGGGGTTTATAGTGCCAGTAGACTTGCGTAGCACCTACCTACACTCTCTCCTCCTCCTCCCCCGCCTGGGCCCGGTGTCGAGACAGAGTCAAGAAGACCGGAGACGAGAGAGGCCGCAGGTGGATGGCTCGGACGGATCCTCACCTTGGCGTTCCACCACAACCCCTGGTCCACACAACAAATAACCAGGATTTCAACCAACAACAGAGATTTGGAGGCTGGCACGGCCGAAGCCGCACCTGGGCGTGCCGCCAACGCCTGGCTCGGAGCCCACACTGCGATGGGAATGCCATAAAGGCCACATTAAAAAGGAGCCATTGCAGCCTGACTCTCAGACCGCCTCCAGTCAAGGAGGAGGTCCAAGTTACCTCGTCAGTTGGCAACCTTCCAAGCCACGGCTTTTAGCGCACCGTGATAGCTTCAAGCGCGTCAGATTGTTTATAGTGAAGAGAAAGTGCGCTGAGTCGTCGACCTCACTCTCCCTTCCAACTCCCACACCCCAGCCGCTGTCCGAGCCAGTCAGCAGACTGGAGTGGGGAATGGGCGCTGTGGCTGTCATGGTCGATTGACCATGACTGCGCGCGCCACGGCACGACCTGGCCCCCCATACACACAACACCAGGATTTCACACAACGGGGCTTGAACGGCGTGTTTCTCACTTGCGTGAGAGGGCCGTGGAAGGTGCAGCTTCAGCCCGTCCCCAGCCCACCAGTCCGCCACTCCACACAACACACACACACACACAACGCGACGAACTGCGTGAACCGAGAGCGGGCGTCAATCAGCAACCTTCCTATCCACGACGCTTGACGTGTCGGGATAGTCTCGGACTTAAGTCACCCGTGCAGCCGAAGCCGCATGGGGACCGAGTCGAGATGCACACTTCCCACTTGCGTGGGAGGTGGCAGTTGGGTGCATGAGGTGTGAGAGTGTTGATTTCTGGTGGGGTGATGGTGGTGGTGGTGGTGGTGGTGGTGGTGGTGGTGGTGGTGGTGGTGGAGAACGTAGGGAGTGAGTGAATGTGTGGTGTGACCGGCGGTTGTCTACCGCAGGTCGTCGTGGATGCGCATGTGGCCGAATAGGCCCATGCGATGCCTGAAAGTGCGAGGGCAGTGTGGGCAGTTGAGACGAGCTTGGTGGGTATAGGTGGGTGCTCCAGGCACTGGTTTGCCAGTCTCTGTGCGATGTATTCGCAAGTGACCGACCAGGCCGATGCGTGAGGTGAATGTGCGTGGACAATGTGGGCATGAGAAGTCGGTGGTGTCAGTGTCACCTACAGAGTAGGCGGTGGTGGTGGCGCAGACGGATGGAGCGAGGGTGGGGTGTGCATGGTGGATGTGTTGGATGTGGTGGGTGTGTCGGGAGTGCGGTCAAGGCCGCTCTCGTGGATGCGCATGTGGCCGAAAAGGCCCATGCGATGCCTGAAGGTGCGAGGGCAGTGTGGGCAGTGGAGGCGAGTGCGGTGGGTGTAGGTTGGTGCTTCAGGTACTGGTTCGTCAGTCTCTGTGCGATGGATTCGCAAGTGACCGGCCAGGCCGGTGTGTGAGGTGAAGGTGCGGTCGCAGTGAGGGCAGGTGTAGTCCTGATCCTCATCGCTGGAGTCGGGGGAGGTGGTAGTAGTGTCGGTCGTTGCGCGCGGGACAGTCGCCTGAGCGGCCGTCGTTGGAGCAGTGGGCGAGGAGGAGGAGTTGGAGGAGGAGGAGGAGGAGGAGGAGGGGGAGGGAAGTGGTGGGTCAGAAGAATTGTCAGAGTTAGTTGGCGGCGGAGAGGAGGAGGAAGAGGCGGGCGGGGGGGCGATGGTTGGTGCAGTTCGAGAGGCGCAGTTAATCCGAAGAGTGGGACATGCCTACTGTGTGAATAAATCGCAGGGCTAAGGAAATCCAGAGACATGCGGATTTCAATGAAATGAATAGTTTCTTCACCTCCATCATGAAGGTCTACGACACTGCATCAAAGGACCCGTGTCGCTCCTCAGTTCCGATGAAACGAAATTTCTCATGGAGAACTCCAAGGGCTGGGCGGAACATTTTAGAAGCGTCCTCAACCGCACATCTACGATCCCCGACGCCGCCACAGACTGACTCCCTAGCTGTAAACTAATATCGACTTGTGTTTCCCACCTTCCTCCCAAGAAGCCATCAGAGCCGTGTGCCGGCTATTCAGCTGGGAAGCGCCGACATTCGACGCAATTCCCGATGCGAGATAAGGCCATCTGAATGTATTCTTAGTCGCGACACTAGCACCTGCTGGATTCTGTTCTCGTCCGAAGGTGAGGCCAGCAGGATGTGCTGGTAACAAAGGTGATTCCGGGTTTCGACGGATTGAAAGACCACCGCCTGGTCATCTCCAAAATTATAATCCGCCTACAGCTACCCAGGAGGCCTCAAGGTAAACGACCCCAGGTAAGCTAGATATTGTTTTGCTGTCTTTGCCTGCTCCCCATCTTTATCTCAGCAATGAACTAGCTCAAGAGCTAGCCAACTTTCCAGTCGCCGCCGCCGCTGACGAGAAATCTTCCGTGGAGGACCGATGGTGTCAACTGCGGGACACAGACCAGTCAACAACCCTGGCTGTTCTCGGTCACGCATGTTGCCAACACCAGAACTGGTTCGACAGCAATGACGCCACCATCAGCAACCTGCTCGCCGAGAAGAGCCGATTGCATAAAGCCTACTTCAACCGCTCACTGACGACAACGAGGCAGCCTTCTACCGTAGTCGTCGCTTTATGCGACAGCGGCTGCGGGAGATTCAGCAGGCTTGGAAGGTTCACAATGTCGAGGAGATCCAGGGTTACGAGAATCAGAACGAATGGGAGAACTTCTTTGCTGCCATCAGAGTCGTCTACGGTTCCACAGCCTAAGGCACCGCTCCTCTTCTCAGCGCCGGCCGGACCACCCTACTCAGTGAGAAGACGTAACTCGTACAGCGATAGGCTGAGAAATTTAGAGGCGCCCTCAACAGTCCCTCCACCATCTCCGACACCACCATCGCCCTTCTGCCTCAAGTGAAGACCAACACCAACCCCGACCTCCCTCTCCCTCTTCACGAAACCAGCAAGGCGGCGCAACAACTTTCCAGCGGGAAGTCGCCCGGATCGGAGGCGATAACTGCTGAGATCTACAAGCAAGGTGGGCCCCAGCCCATGGATCATCTGACGGCACTCTTCCAGGAGATGTAGCGTCAAGGAAAAGGCTTTCAAGAACGCCAAAATCGTGCGTCCCATGAGCAGAAAGGTAATCGCCAGTTCTGCGACAACCACCGAGGCATTTCCCTGCTGAACGTCGTCGGGAAGATCTTCTCTCGCATTTTCTACAACCGCCTGGACCACCATGCAGAACAAGTTCTCCTGTCGGAAAGCAAGTGCGGCTCCCGCCGTCATCGCGGCACCACCGACATGATCTTTGCCGCCTCTGAACTGCAGGAGAAGTGTCAGTAGATGCGGACCCACCTCTACCCTACCTTCGTGGATCAGACGGAAGCCTTTGACACGGTGAATCGCGAAGGACTGTGGAAATCATGCCGAAATTCGGGTGTTCCAAACGATTCACTCAGTGCGTCAGCTCCACGATGGCATGATAGCGCGAGTCACAGACAAAGGAGTTGTGTTTCAGAGGCACTCGAAGTGACCAACGGAGTAAAGCAGGGCTGCGTTCTCACGCCTGCCCTCTTCAGTCTCATGTTCTCTGACATGCTGATGGACGCCTATTGTGACGAACACCCTAGGATCCACATCGCCTACAGGGCAGGCGACCAAATCCTCAATCACCCCCGGATGCATTTCCAGTTGCGTGTACCCACAACTACCGTTCCTGAACTTCTCTTCGCCGACGGCTGCTCTCACAACGCCACTTCCGAAAGGGACATGCAAAGGAGCATGGAACTCTTTGCCGCCGCCTGTGACAATTTCGGCCCCATCGTCAACGTGGAGAAGACGGTGGTTATACATTAATCGCCACCCGACGCTGCCTACGTCGCACCCCAAATCAACGTGAATGGTGCCTAACTGCATGCCGTAGATAACTTCACGTATCTGGGCAGCACCCTCTCTGCCAACTGCAAAATCGACGATGAAGTGGCCCGCCGATTTCCAAGGCTAGTCAAACCTTTGGCCGAATGCGAAACACAGTTTAGAATCGCCTTAGTCTCCACGTCAGCAACAAACGCAAGATGACGAGCTTGAAGGTATCACGGTGCGCTAAAAGCTTCGGCCTGGAGGCTTGCCAACTGACGGAATAACTTGGACCTCGTAGTCGGCCCAGTGTTATGTGTTTATTTGGAGCGGCCGATTGGTGGTCTAAGAGCGGGGCTGCAATTGGCCCTTCTTAATGTAGCTTTTATGACACTCCCATTCCGTGGGACTCGAGCCAGGTGTGACGGCACGCCTAGATACGGTTTCGGTTGCGCCGTCCCCTTCTGTCATTGTTGGTTAGAATCCTGGTCATTTCCTGTGTGGATCAGAGGGTATGGAATGAAGCGCCAAGCTGCAGACTTGACCGTGCCATCCACCTGCGTCCTCCCACACCTTCGGTCTTCTTGACTAGGTCTTGACACAAGACCCAGTTGAGAGAGGAGAGAGTGTGGTAGATGCAGCGCAAATCTGCATTCATTATAGACTAAATCAGCACAAGTCACCTTGTCTGCTTCATCTTGCTGTGGAGCACACGGTGGACATCGTCGACAACGACGGTCGAACTGTCGTGTGCAGATCCCAGGTCGCATCGAATAGGAGTACAGTGCAAAGTGCTTCAGAATAAGCCTTATTCGCATTTCTACTGTCCAGTGCCATCAAATCTAGTTCCTTGTTTATTACCCATCGGCAGTAGTAATAATAGTTTTTTTAAGTTATACATTGCATTTTATCTGTCAAATTCTCTTTTTACCGGCAACGTTCACATCTCTCGACTTTTGACCTCACAAATCCGGAGACGTAGGCGGAGCGTTCTGGTGCAAATTAATGTCACGTCTGCCTCTTTACCGTCCATTTTAAAATACTGAAAGACATAGTTCCGGTTCGCCAGAGAATCAAACAATTTATGTGACAGACAATTTCGGACATGCACTAATTGCTGCCCATTGTTGAATTTTCAGTGTCACCTTCAGAAAGACACAAATTGCAAGAATCTTACGATCTCGACAAGGTAACTTCCGAATGGTAGTCCCGTTGGAGTTCCTTGGAGTTATGTTCCACTACTTTTCGTAAACATGCAACGTATATGCCTAGGATTCTGGATCTTTTAAATGAGAAGCATTTATACAAAATGACCAGTTGGGGACGGCGTTAGTAGAATACTAAGTTGGCGTCATCTGCAATAGTAACAAACGATTTTTGAGCGAAGGCACGTTCCTCATCCACCCCGTTGGAAGTGCGCTAACGGCTCGCGACAGTTAACGTAACCCGTCAAATCCATCATAACGGTTTGTTGAGCTAACGTTCAGCATGATTACGGCGCGCCTGGGCCTGTGTTTGCTCGTACACTGCCTAGACGTTGCCTCTATCGATCACCGTCGCACTTGTGTGCCAAAATTATGCAGACACTGCCACCCTCCGCCCCACCCAACACCCTCCCCCTCACCTACCGCTCTAACAATGCTTTTTCTACAGGTTGATGCGAAGGTTCGCGCTCGAAACTGAGTCCCCGCAAACGAGTGGAAGCGCAGCTAGCTCAGCTGCACACAAGGCGTCGTCACCGATGCGCCGATAAAGGAAGGGACTCACTTTGCATTTTGCGTCAAACACACTATCGAATGTACTTTGCATTTTCACAGGCAGTAAACCATGACTGTAGCTGCTGTGGAAAAAACCGCCTCACCTCAAGCGGTGGTGACACAATTTTACTTTTTTGGTTCTAGAGACTGGGTAGTAATAGGATCTAAAGGAAACTCAAAAAGGGATGCATTCGACGTTGAGGTGTCCGATGACAATCGCATAGATATCTGCGGAGGAAAATCCAGAAAGTTATAAGGAAGGAACGAAATTCGTTGATGGATTTGATGGTCTAAATTGTTGAAAAAACTCTGTCAGATAATAAAGGCGGATCTTTCGTTGTGTTAAACAAGGCTGACTACGAAACTAAGGTCATTATGCATCTCGGAAACCACGAATCTTACATGAAGTGATTTTTATGTCATTCAAAAGTCACCGAGCTCATAATTGGCAAGCAAAAATTCCAGTATGTGACGATATTTAATATCATTTTCCTGCAAAAGAAGGTCCGTCAGTGGCTTGTCGTTAAGCACATAACTAAACAGTAGTACGGGAGGCGCATGAAGGATGGTCAATGAAGAGCTTTATTATCAGCTCATGTACTGGAAATGTTCCAAATAAACCAAACCTCTCAATCTCAATCATCAATTTCCATCGTCTAACTTGATTATACAAGCGCGTGAAATAGTTTTCAAGCCCACCATGGTAACTTACAAGGATTATGTCTACCAGCAGTTAAGCGGATTTTTAATGGTCTATTCCCTTATCATTCTGCTGACGTACATAGTTATGGAATATCCTAAACATACATCCATCTGAGACCTCCGAAATAGGCCCAAAGTTCTTTGTGGTTACATCGATGACACATTTGCAATCATCAAAAGAGTAGGTAGACGAGATTATAGCCTCTCTGAATTCAGTTAATGAAAGCATGTAATTCACGACGGAATTTCAGTCTATCGCAAGCAAAATGGCATTTCTTTATTTTCAGCGCGCAAAATTCAAAAAGGGTGTCTTGGAGACCACTGTTTATCTATAAACTTTCAGGTGCCACACTAACTGATTGCTGAAATGTAAGGGGTAAGCAGGCAAATTCAACAGAACAGTATTCAACTTACTTGGGATCGTTTACCTTGGGATCTCCTGGGTAGCTGTAGGTGTAGTATCATCTTGGAGATGACGAAGCGATGGTCGGCCAATCCGTCGGCACCCGGAATCGCGTTTATCACCAGCACATCCTGCTGGTCTCGCCTTCAGACGAGGACATAGTCCAACAGGTGCTAGTGTCGCGACCGAGAATACATCCAGATGGCCTTCTTCCGCATCGGGAGTCGGAAGAGGGGACTGGCTATTAGAAGGCGGTGTTCTGCGCAGGTTCCAGGAGGAGGAGATCATTGTCGTTGCAGCCGTTGATCCCACAAGGATCCAGCACTCCCCTTCAGGCAGCACAGTCTGTCCCGAACCGGACATTGAAGTCACAAAGGACAGCGAGCTTGTTCGTTTTCTGCAAAGACGCCAGGAGGGCGTGCAGGTCATTGTCGAACTTGGTCTTCGCCTTGTCAGAACCGTTCATTGGTGGGGCCTAGGCGCTGCTGACGGTGGCGATATGGGACCCCCGGAGACATGGCCGAAGGCTCATCAATCGGTTGTCGATGTCCTGCGGCAGAATGGGCAGTCGTCCCACGATGTCGTTCCGCATGGCAAAGGCGACACCTGTGTCTCATCGTTCTGCCCAGGGGCAGGTGCTCCAGAAGAAGGTTTATCCGGCATCCACCTCCTCCGGTTCTTCTTGTTAGGAGAAACGGGTCTCGTTGAGTGCAGCAACGTCTGCCGTGTAGGGTACCAGTTCCCGAGCGACTAGTGCTGTCCTCCATTCCGGTCGGTTACTCCTCGGACTGTCTAATGGAGAAGAAACATTCCAGGCTGCCGGAGTGAGTGGACTCATCCTAGCAGTCTGTGGGGTGCGACGGAGGAGGGGACAGAGACAGGTCGTTGCTTCGGCCTTGTGTTTTGTGTCTGCGAGCCGCGGCCTGCGCGCAGGTGTGGTGAACCCAGGATTTGTTTAGAGCACCTTTCGCAGCTCCTTTCCCTGAGAGGGTGTAAACAGTGCTGTCCCTAAATGGGGCTACTAAGTCGTCCCAGACGGCTGTCGAACTCCGCATCTCGGTTTAGTGGACAGCAACCCGGGTTGTCCTGGGCTCTCTACGGAATAGCATGCCGTCCTATCCTTAGGACTTTTTGAAGTGGGCGAGAGAGAGTGAGGGTGGATGGGAAGGAAGACGGGGTTACTAGGTGTGAGGACACAACGCCGTATATCCTCACCTGGTTTAGCTCGGCGGTCGAGGCGGTTACCAGTATGTAGCTGTTAAGCGGAGCCTAGCTCCAGGATGCAAAACTTGAGAGTTGGCTGCCGGTTAATGGACGCTATGCGTTTTCAAGACCTGCAAGGAAGCGAAAAGACCTACTACGACCTTCACGTAAACATAATACTGGACATCCCTACATCCCAGCATGAGTGCTTTAACAGATTACTAATTTACATTACTTCATGATGTAATATTTTAGTGCCTTAAGTAGGATCATTTTGAACTGCTCGGCGAGTAGTCATTGTTTATACCTTGTTTACCAGTAAGACAGGAATGGCCAATAGGCATCTCAGCTTTTTATGCACCTTTTATAGTTGCGGCAACCGCTTAGTTTGGTCAAAACGTGTTTGATCTAGTTTGTTCATGTTGAGCGGAATCCATTGTGTATGACAGAATAGCGTTTCGAGTGGGCGCAATCCTTCCGGGTTTTAAGACGAACAACGTACTCCCTCCTCTTCCCTCCAACACGACATTCGAGAGCCATCTAGCAAGAGCGTTCGTCATACAACATGAACTATTCCCTGTAACTTCAAAAACTGCGAAGGAAATCAAGTGGGCTCAACATCGGTCGAACAAAATCTGGTCAAGTCAATCTTGTTAGATGTCACGGAACTGGACATTTAACTTCCATTTCAAAAGATATGAACGACATTTAACCAAAGGCATTAAGGCTTGAGCTTGTAACTTACTTGGTTGTATCCTCTCCAAATTCTGCATTTGTTTCGGGTCACTAATCCGCAAATCTCGATTGTATATTTTCTCCCAAACTCACTTGACAATTCTGTCTACTAGGAAACGAGAAACTCGTGTAGACTCAGGATAGGTAGCCGTAAAGTCATATCCATCCGGCGTCCTTCGGTATCAAAAGTTCCTTAACTATACAGTTGGACACCCAAAGTCAGCAACGAGACTAACAGAACTAAACAAACGATGGGCCTTTACGCGTGGTATTTAGTAAGTCAAAATAGATATATTCCACCAATGGAAGCAAACCGGACAGTCCCAGAGGTTAATAGCATAAACTTCCGAGATACCACTGATACAGTGCACTTTTACCCGGAGGTTTTCATTTAGTGCTCAATTCTAAATGGTAACGCTCATGGGAAATCATTGTGGCCGGATGTATTCGAGTAACCAACCATAGCCTACAACCGTCCGTTTGAGAAGGAAATATACATTACTTCTAGGATTACTAACTCGCCGTGGGCACTTCATTTTTGGAGTACCCTGCGCGAAATCAAGGAGTTGGCTGTTAAACTCAGCCTGACGAGATAATCTTTATAGCCGTGGGGACCTTCCTATTTCTTGCATTCTCTACCAAAAGAAGTCCTGCGTGTTACAATTACACAAAATAACACGTTTTTCTACAGCTACCTTATGATTAATTTATTAAAATGATCGTAACCTGGAAGACCTACTGCTGCAATTAACTTCCCCTGCCTATTTCAATAAATCCAGCGCCGTAAACCGAGTAGCAGCTTGCGGTGAGTGAAAAAAAAAGGCATTTGTATTTATGAGACATAACGAAAACCTGCGAATGCACGGACGGCAGTATGGCAAATTTATCCTAAACAGTTAAAAGACATGCCTAAAGTACAGGAAGCCGAGAAAGTAGGTTAACCACATCAGGCTGTCCCCCGTTAAGAAGGTTCGTCAAGTCAGATAGGGGAGAGGCAAATTAATGTGGCGGTTGGCGCAGCAGTAGGCGGACATCCGGGTTTCTTGCACCCACCTTGCCGTATAATCGTTGTCATGGCTCACAATCTCAACAATCTCAAAGTTGAAGATGTGTCCCGTTTGCGCGGCATGGGTTGCTACCTCCGACTTTAGGTCCAACCCTCGAATGGACAACTTATGCACGTGCATTCGCATTTGCAGCCGTCGGCCGGTTTCCCCAACGTAGATGAACTTCTCGCAGCTGCATTGAAGCCGGTAGAAAATAGCCGACATCTCTTGCTTGGAGATCGGGTTTTTATGGCCGCATCACTTGCCGGCGGATTGTTGAGTCAGCCTGTGGGCAACGTCTATTCCGAGCGGCGCGAGGGATCTAGCCACGGCTTCGGAGACCCCTTTCATGTATGGAATGCTCCGCCACGATTTTGGCGGACTATGTCCTTCATTCTGCCTCCTTGGTTGCCTTCGGCTCAGCTGAAAGAATGCTCGCGGATAACCGCGACAGAGACGGCGCGGGACAATCAGGCCCGCCAACTATCTCCTCGGCCGATGAAAGTGGGGGCGATTCAGGTCACGGTAACATGCGGGTCGGATGCAGCCACACAGGCGCCACTCATCAAACAAAGTGCGCCATATAAGGAGAGCTGTGTGCATGACTTCCCAGTCTCTGCAGATGGCTAGACGAAACAACTACTCGAAACCTCAGACCTCCAATGCACCTCTCCTGGTGAACGTCTCCTTTTCCTTTGATATGCCACCTGGGAATCGCATTTTTATTACTATTGATAACCACCAGTATTGCCGATAAATGAGAAGATGCGAATTCCAGGAACTATTTGACAAGAAGAAGAAGAAGAAGAAGAAGAAGAAGAAGAAGAAGAACGATGTGGGCAAATAAACTTTTTCCATGCTTCGTTTCCATCAGTTTTTCTCGTTCACCCTACTCTGTGAACGGGTTAATATTTAATTCCACCCTCACCTACATAAACATTTTGGTGGGTTTTTTTCTCGAGTAATTAATCAGAACTAGGCGTAATATGTGAATGTACCAATGTAAACCCACACAAGTGGTTGGAGAACTCTGAAGTAGACTACGGAGTGGAGAACAGGGAGGGGTAAGTTATTGATTAGAATCGCACGTATCTGATGGAGCAAAGGTGGTCTGAATTGTGCAGGAGATATTTATAGGCTTCTTACCAGTGCATACATTTCAATGTCGCCATTACTATTTACTGTTCGTCTACCCAAACAGGAAGGGAGTCATGTAAAAGGAAGCACAGTTTGAACAAAAATGTGTTCGAAAATACACGAGTTGAAGAGCGGAAGAATAGCAGGCCTTTGCGAGCCGACTCAGTGTACTGTAGAGCAGTCGTTGCTTGGCCTGTTCTGTTAGACAAAAATATGTGAGGATCTTCAAGATGGAAATAAAAATCACAGTTTCTTTTGCCTTATAGAAATTGGCGAAACTAAACTGAAATAAGACGTCCAAGCTAAATGCTTTTATAGCGCCTGCACGTACAGTGCGCGTCAAAACCAAATGGAACATCGATCAAGATTCAATGAGGGTCCGAGTAAAGCAGAAATAGCGTGCGGTGCATTGTTTAGAAGTCAGTACTAAATAATTAACGACCCTAGTTCGAAAGAGGAAAGAAAAATACACGCAAAGCATTCCCAAGTCTAGCAGTTTTGGCGGCTACGTCCTTTGTTAAAAAAACCTCAGTATACTTTCGTTCTGAGTATCTTGGGGAAGAAGAAAGAAGAAGAAGAAGAAGAAGAAGAAGAAGAAGAAACGATCATTGGAACAAGAGCTTTATTCGCCCGACGTTCTGGGTTCTCACTGGAACACGTCATCAGAGACAGAGGCAGTGACAGTTTCCGCCACTGTCTCTGATGGTGGGTTCAAGTGGCAATCCGAAATGTCGGACGAATAAAGCCTTTTTTTCAGTGATCGCTTCTTATTATTCTTAACCACCGGTATCTTCCACTGGTCTCAAGTGGAGTTGTTTCACCTCGTGGAGGCCAATTTGGAGATGGACTACAGTTTCATGGGCATAAAGTGAGAGCAGAAGTAATTACGTCAGAATTATAAATCAAAGGAGACTATCCATTCTCTCTCTCTCTCTCTCTCTCTCTCTCTCTCTCTCTCTGTCATGCACCCTCCCCTCTTTTACTGTCCAGAGTGACTGTGCAACTGGCTATTTCTCCTGTCTAGATAATAATTGCCTGCCTGCTCAAGTCAGTGTTCGTAATTGCTCGCAGACTTCACTTTGCAACGTAACCTCCATGAACTTTCTGTGCATTCTGACAAGATACCGCCTTATCAGCGTAAATCCGCGGCACTCTGGAGATGCAGCTAAACATATGCAGACTGCTGCAGTGTCGGGATGGCCAAGCGGAATTTGTAGATCCAACTGTACAACAAACAACCAGCGCGTACGCAGCAAAGCCTGAATCCTCACGCGTACTGAAGCGAAACGGTCTACCCGATTCCGGTGGTGAGAAAAGGCTTTGTTGAGAAGCTTCACGTACTGATTGCCCACCCTTGAGGTCTGGGACGTACAGTCGAGAAATCAGGAAGTCGTCTTCTTCCCCAACCTTGCAAATACCTCTTTGGTGTCATGGGCCAGTTTGGTCTGAATCCAAGCTGCACCGATGCTTCAACCGCCATGAAGGAGCATAAGAAATCGGCAAGCATAACTGTTGTCGTGGTGAAGAAGGGTTGGTAGTTACCTGCGATGACACACCCATCACACGTCAATGCGTAACGGTCGCATGTAGACACAATCATACATTATGCAATCATTTCTGACCGCAAAGGAGTGATCTGCGTTTGACAAGGAGAATGGTCAGTCGCAACTGCCTTAACAATGTTACAACTTCGTTCTGTGCGCGCTTACTTTCAGAAATAGACAGTTAATGAGCGAGCAGCTCCAATATTTTTTAAAACACCATTATCGCCCAACTATACATTTCGTTTGGACAGTGCCAATTTGGACAAACTTATTTCGCTATGCTGCTTTTTCTTCCCATACGACATTTTTTGACTTTCTTTTTCTTAATTTCAATAGTAGTCGCGTAGGCAAGCATATTTGAGTTAGCACTGTAGTACCATCTGCTCTTCACTAACTGGGCATGGAATTAAGCGTGTGCAGTATATTTGAATCCGTCCCGCCAACTTAATTCGTAATAGGGTATCTTTAAAGCACTTCAGTTTAGTTCACTCCGATGAGCAAATTATTTCATCGATGTAGCTTTCTACCCTGGTTCCCAGGCACTTGCGGGCACAGCCTGCATAGTAACAACTCATTCAAAGACTTTCGCGGAATTTTTAATTGCCTAAGGCTGAAAGATTCTTTCATCAGCTAATGTTTCACTTGAACGCAAAAGTTATTGCATTGTTTTTAATACGCACCACCTCCATGTTCAGGAATTATGTTCTTGCAGGCTTTGGCTCGTGACCTGCATACTTTAACAAATATTTGCAGACTGAAAATTAGAAAAAAAAGCATCATTATCTTAATGCAGAAATCCGCTCTCAAAAGCTTTTCAAAAGGACTAGATCACACTAATGTTTCCAGAGTCTAGAGCACCTATATCATCACAGACAGTCGAAATATCCGGTGATTCCAGATAACAACATTGTACACCATAGAGTAGCGAAAGTAATCGAATGTTTAATTACGGTTTTTCAGACCTACTGAGATAAAGGCTTTTAACTAACTGATCTTTATGCACCGTGATACAACTGCACGTCCGGCGCACTGCTTATTGTCTTACCCTTTACATCAGAGGCTTAAAAAGGGTTCGCAACTTTCATCGTTTTCACAGTGGCGTTTCAAAATTCTATCGAAGAAACAACAAAAAATTACGGATAAGCAACCAAAAGGCTTCCAGGCGCAGTTCACGCAGCAGCGGTCGGTCCTAACACGTTACGCGAAGAGAATGCGGTTTGCGGCCACAAAGGTACATTATGTAGTTCAACTGATTTTAATGTGTTACCGCTACTGCCATACGCGATGGTGGTGGTGGTGGTGGTGGTGGTGGTGGTGGTGGTGGTGGTGGTGGTGGTGGTGGTGGTGGTGGTGGTGGTGGTGGTGGTGGTGGTGACTCGACCCTTTCATGACTGACTGTCAGGTGGAGATGACTCCCGCCTAGTGTAACGTTTATAGTAGTATAACCTGTATGAGATCCGAGTCTCCTACTTGAGGCCGCGTACATATGATTTGAGCACCGGGTCATTGGGTTTTCAGGCTTTGGTATCTACTGCGTCCGCGCCAACCTCCGGTCGTCTTAATTTTGTTTTGCCCTCAAAACATGGTGGGTGATGGAGAAGAGGATTCGGAAGGGGTTAAGTGTGTTTGTTTTTACATAAACAACTGCACGTGCAAGTCAGCTCTGCTGCGCCCACCTCGTGGGACAACGGTGAACGTAACCGGTGATAAAGATGATAATGATAATTGTCGCCGTGGTTGTAATCGTTCGTTGCTGTCGTTATCGTTGACTAATACAGTTTTCGCCTGACCGCGTCTGCTGCTAACAGAGTGAGAAACAGAATGTCTCTCTGTATGCCTTCCACGACAGCGGGCATGTAAATGACTTGGCTTGTGTCATTTTACCCTAAAATTACAAACTGCGCATGACTTTGAAGTGGGTTTTTCACCGTGACCTGGACGAATTTCCCCCGAAATGCCGACAGCAACTCGGTTTCCCCTGGAGGGTGTTCTGTTAGCAACATCTGGTGGAATTAAGATGTACCTTATCCCTCTTACATGCACCCGGTGGGAGCACAGAGTTGGTGGAGCAAACTACGCTCCGAGGCAGTCATCAAATGCTTCGGATTCTTCTCCTGACTACGAAAGTGTCTACTTACCAGCAGGAATTAAAAATTCGTTTTTGAGTAATTAGATGGTGTACTAACGGCTGTTATATACATAAGAGAAGATACTGACAGTTTTGGTGCAATAGGATCGAACAGATGGGACGGCTCATTTCTCATTAAAGCGTAGAACACTGCACACTGGCCAGGTTTCAGAAATTGCGCAAATCCTAATATACACTCAATCGTTGAAACGACGTCCGGGAACGCAGGCAGAGAGTCATCAGCAAAACTATGACACTGGCGTAAATGTGAATATCTAAGTCCACTTTAAGCTGTTTTTTCGTGATCCGTGTTCGACCCCACCAAAAACAGTGAAAAACGAAAAAATGATTTCAAACGTTTTTTAACCCATTTATAATGCCGAAATTTGCCCCTCCCATGGTGACTAAAAGGTACCAGAAGGCTTGTGGAGAGAGTGAAAGTTTGCATTAATATAAGCATCCTGTTCCATGGTCATTCCACGGTCGTACTACACAGTATTCACGACCGGATCAATATCGTTACACTTCACTTATGAACAGCAGAGGGGTATTTCAGGCTGAGACCGGTGTGGATGTAGAGGTAATGAAATGAAAGTACAACAGCATATGCTCGAGTGGAACACAGCGCGACAACTTTTCTTTTTTTTAAAGAACAATATTTCAGACCTCATATTTTGTCGTACACTTTTAGTTGACACGTTTTTGGCAAAAAATTACTTTTTTCGGAAGTAAGTCGAATTCCTCTGAGGCAGTAAGTACAACAACTTGAACCCTGTTTAGCTAAAATGAAGATGAATTACTACTTAGGATGCAGAACAGAATGAAATTTTACGCCAATAAGAAGAGTTGCGTCACTGAGTTCAGTGAGAAGCGCGTAGAATATGAAACAACTACATGGGAAGTGTAGTGTTTAGAGCATGGACTTCTCCTAAATCAAACCTTCAAGACAATTCCGCAACGAGGTATTTGAACCATGCCTTAGCTGTAAATTAACCAATAGACTAAACTAGAGACCCAGAAGCCTCTAGGATGTAGTGGACGAGCCATCTTTTTGCCACTGGCTTAAGGCGATATCATGTCGGTTTCTATAAGGTTGCAAGTGGAAGCCCTACATTACGCCAAATACTGCATTCTAGATCATCATTTGTCTGCCCTATTCGGACTCGTCGCTGGTATATCATGAAAAGGGCGAAAGAGATCACACGCAAATATGTGCTTACGCTCCTCGTTCTCATAAGTCTGAAGAGCTTTAAAACTATCAAGGCGCGCTAAACTTCTCGGCTTAGATATCTGTTAACTGATAAGATAAAAAAGTCCTCGGAACGTAGAGTAAGGTTAAACTGGCATCTTCTTTAGCTATGTTTTTTAATTAATTCACCGGCGAGTTTCCAAAGTTCGGTTCGTATGCGGTGAGGAATAAACACATGCAACACGCGTGGATCGGGCTTAATGTGAGGTCAGCCAGCACGCCCACTTCCATTCCTAGTTGTCTTGACCGTGTTTTTTTCGGCAGATCACGTTGGGTGTATTATTAAAGAGGAGTTAGATGTTGCCAAGTTTACTGTCTATAATCTAAACCATGTACAAGTTGCCGTTGCATCCTTAGGCACTGCTGATGCCAATTGAGTAGGATGGATGAAGTACAGGACCAGGGACGAGACTTGCTGTGAGTGTCTCACTCAAAATGATTGTACCCCTTCACATCTTAAAATCCGAAATGTAGTTTTTATCTCACATGTCTTGCGTAGTCCGCTCGAAATAATGTCCATCACTTAAACATTTTTATCTAAGGAAGGGAAATATCCTCAACTTGGCCCGCGACTTTCCGCCATTCGAGTAGCTGTCGATTTTATGAGATTTAATGTACAATTCCGTTTACTCTGATCCAGGTAGAATGATGTCTATCACATAAAGACCGCATGTGTTATCAACTGGCTATTTATTTATGGCCTCCGGGTCAGGTAATGAAAACATCATTAAAGGTACAGTAGCCTCCTGTGTAGAAACTATTCGCTAGAGCTGCTAGAAGTGATAGGTGAGAACATCGCGCATGAGATGGAAATATCTTCATTCGAGAATGATAAATGCATTACTTTAAGATGAGCTTCGTGGACATTCTGTATTTTACCATAATGCTAGATACGGATGTGGAAACCTCACTCATGTACATCCCCTGCCAACACATGGCCCCGTCTTGTGGGTGTGGCCAAGCGTGGCTGGACGTGGCCATGGCCACGCCATATTTTAAGAAATCTCAAGAGTTGTTTCAGCCGCTTAGACGAAATCTTCCGTGTTTGAATGTTCTGCATTTACCTAAATATACGTTAATTCACCCAGAAAGTGCCTTGAGTCTTCACTTCTTGGGGGATTATAATTTGCTTGGATAAGCTGATTAGGACGCTTTTTTAAGTGGGCCACTTGGACACCATTTGTCTGCTGCTCGCCTGGACGCTCGCGACGAAGTGGTACGTTGTCCCGCGTTGTTTTTATGTCTATCGCGCCTTTATGGTCTTACTTACGCCATAACTTATCTATTTTATGTTACACAAGATGGTATACTAACTTAATAACAATTTTAATCTCACAGTGAGCGTTTCAAGTGCAAACTTTTTTGTTTTGTTTTATACCTATCAGTGAAAGCAATCATGATGCGCAAGTACTATGGCTTGCATCGGAGCACAATTTACAAGCGGATTGCGCGTGAGAAGAAGGTATATTATGCGCGGATGGGTGATGCCTCCGTTCCCTCTAGGTCGTCGATCGCAGACCAACCACCGGAATTAGAAATGCCCGAACAAGTCCCAGAAGTTTACACCGGTAGTCATCTTACTGTGTTACTTACTAGCAAGTTAAGAACCCGTAGACATAATCGAGGACGCGGTCGCAGGCAAATGCTTTCTGGCGGATTTATGGGAATTCTGCTTGGAGGTCCAGATGCCACTATCCACAACAAAGAAGTTTTTTTGGATGCTGCGGCCCTACCACCCAGAAGTACTCAAAGACCCATGGACGCTATTGCAAACGCCTCGAACCTACATTATAAAGCCCGTGAACAAAGGCAACTATGTGCATCTAGGTCTTGAGCGTGGTCTGCAGGATCAACTGCACAGTCTGCCAGCAACAACCGTTGCTGAAATGCACATCCAGCTCAATATCGACGGAATGGAGATATTCAAAGTGTCTAGTCACTGCCTGTGGCCGATTCTTGCTCCTATTCGCCTTCCAGTTGTGGGTCAGCCCTTCATTGTTGGAGTGGTCTCCGGTCCCGGCAAGCCCGATCCGTTGGATGACCTCCTGGGCGACTGTGTTGGCGAGCCGATGTTTTGTGCGGCAAGTTAAAGTTCACAATGGCTATTGCGGGTGTGACAGGGATGTTGTTTCGTACCTTTAACTTGAACCACCGCAGGTGTTCCCATATGGGCAAACTTATTGCGAACAGCGTGAAGTTTCCAGTATGCAGTGGGCGTCTGCATGAAGACAGGTAGTTCAGGTTGCGAAGACAGGAACCGCATCACAAGGGCAGGTCTTAGTTCGAGGATAGGGTGACTTCCTTTCCACTCTACTATATGCACCTGGATTGCGTGGTGTCGTCCGGAAGTTACTGCATATTTGGCGTCTGGGCTCCAGCAAGTACTCTAACTCATTGAATACGTCTATTAAGATGCGCAGCCAATGTTTGCCGGCCGATTTTCTACGTAATAATTATTGTTTTTTCCCGGATTTTCGGTGCTTCTGACGTTCTCCTACCCATTTCATCTGTCGAAAGTCTTTCCAGACTCCCTATCCCAGATGTTAAGTCGTTTGTCTCCCTTTTCATTGCTAAGAATTCTTAAAGGAGGCTTAAAAGTATCGCACAAGTTTCGTCTTCTCACTTCACATTAGTCGAAGTTAGGAAACTCTTCGTACGCTTATCAGAAAGGAATACGGTAACAGAATGTTCCTTTATGCGGCATTTCTCGCGGCTACCCTCACCTAAGTTTTTATTTATGCAAACCGCCGGCTTAGACCCACGAATAAGAAGCCGATGGGCACAATTTTTAAAGTTAAATGGGCAGGCGAACCATCTCGTTTCCAGTTGAAAAAACTATAAAATCTTTTCAAAGGTGCAAGAAGCGATATCTACCCAGGCCAATGGCATTAATCCAATATTAGAGGGTGTACGCGCTTGCAAATTTGGAATATTCAGGAGATCTGATGGCGGATCAGCTGGTGGGAAGAGTTTGGTTATTTGTGTGAAAGTTTTGTCACGATTTTGTGCGGATGACGGTGTTGTTGTTCTGATTTCAATAGAAAATGCCTTCAGGATACGTCAGCAGTCGGTAGACCGAAATCTCGGGGAATACCAACCTTCCGGCGGCTTGAACTTCACAATCTAATTTCGCACTCATGCTTGTACCGGTTTTGCAGCAAATCTCGAAACTCAGCTACCTTCAAAGCCGTAACGGCGGAGTACTGTCTGTGGTCTACTGCGAAGGCCCGCACTTGACCATTTTCCTTTTGAGAACGTCCATAAAATGTTATTCAGCAAACCTTTGCCCTCTCCATGCCATGTTTTTTCGATGTCATCTTAAACAAACATGGCAACCGTGTTCTCTACGCCTTCGTTTGATATCGAGGATTTGAAACATGTTTGACGCCAGGAGACAAGACATAATTGCTCGTTTTAGAACCTTAAAGCCGGAGTTTCGTGACCACTTTATCTCGTTCCCATCCCATCTCTATATTCTGAATGCTATTTCTCCCGCCTAACTTTTCGTGAGCGTTAGCTTTTCTGCTTGCTTATCAAAGACGGCGTGCGAGAATTGGACTGTGGACGTGTCGCTTTCGCGGATGAAATCAAGATCTGAATAGTCGTCCGCAGAACTGCCAGCAAGGCGGACTTGCAAGAAAATCTTTGTCAACTGAAAGATTAGTCATGCAGATGGCTCCTGTTGTTTAACTCGAGCACATTTACCATTCTACATCCTGTAAATCGAAACCAGCTCCTTGATACGCGCAGTTAATGTCAGAAAAGAATGTCACTGTGAAAAACGAAACCACAGACGTGTCTCACATTCGGATAACGAGCCCTCTGACGCCTTTTACACACTGTTCTAAGGAACTAGAGTAGCAATCTCAACTATGTATATATCAAGCTGGCATGTACAGTTTTTGATGAAAACTGCTTCCTTCGTGTCTTTGAAACATTTGTAATATCTAGAGACGCGGGCTGATGGAAGAATACAAAATATTCGAATGGCTTCATAGGAGAAGTCAAGGAGTATTGCCATATGCGACACAATTAATTTAAGTTACTATCTTTTGAGTTAAAGGCACATATGGGGAGATTTTATGGAGGTCTGCAATATTTTGCGAGGTTTGGACTGCTTTCTTCTTTGTGGGTACATTGTCCAACTAACCCATATAACAAACTTTCGTTGGAAGCACTCCAACCTACGTGTGTCTCAACAAGGCACATTTTCGAACCGTTTGCCGGAACCGTGAATAATCTGCCCGGAACGATTAGCATGTCATAGTCCGCGGAAACTTTCAAACAACGCCTGGACAGAGATGCGCTGATGCAACAAGTGGACCATACAACTGCGTAACCTAAAAACATATAAGCTCGTATGAAACCAAGTCCGTTTAGACTTGCTACCGTAATTCCCTAATATTGTTGGAAATACTTCTGATTTGTGCGTGACAGACAAGAAACTCAAAGGAGTAAGACTACCCCCTCATATAAACTGAAATTAAATAAGTCATTTTGGTTTGGTCTACAAAATGTCCCCGTCGAAGTACCTAATCATCCCACTGTAAATAATATTGTCTTGTAGTCCAAATATTTTGTGCGGTAATCCACAAAAGGGCTCTGCCTGTAACCCTTCAATATACATATACAAATATACTTACATCAAGGACAAAGGGGATTCCAATGTTGACCCCTGTATAACAAAATTTTGAACCACTACGTAAGTTAACCTGCTCTGGATGATGTATATAGGTTAGAAGCCGCTAGTAGTGAAGATGCCTGCTCATTTGGCTAAATTTCTCCTGACACTTCTCGTCTGGGATGTGTACAGCCGTCGATAGTTTGGCATAGGTTCAAAGGCCTTTTGGAAGTTAGTGATGGTGAAGTGAATAGCCCCCTCAATTCCACAATACTCGCCCTTATCCGAACAACTAATCTGCAGGTTATTCCCTAACAAAAACCGCGTTGGCAGATCTATAGCAGGGACTGACATATGAGGAATTCCAAAAGCCCGATCTTATTGACCATTGAAATGACTTTAGTGAGGTTAAAAGTCAGGCTTCTAAGTGTATAAATTTTGCAGACCCACCATCAATCCTGTTTTCTTAAGAGAGAAATACGCGTCAGCTTTCGGTCGAAAATAGGAATTTCGCTAGCAAATGAACTTTAAACGATCGATAAGTAAATGACAGTTAGCTGAAACGCACTGTGAGAAAGGCGGGTGAAATCGTGACTGAACCGGGAGATTCGATTACTCCAACGAATCTAATTATCATCGGTTGGGCTACGCGAAAATAAAATGCTGTTTGTGATAAGGGTTGGCGGGTCTTCCAAGAGCGGGAGAGAACATCCTAGTTAATCCGTTTAGACATCTAGGAAAACTGTAAAGAAAATGAACACAGTATCTCTGGGACAGTAGGTGTAGTAGTCCGAGCTTTCGGTCTCGTACAGGAGGCCACCGTCAGAGACTGCGAGAAAACTATTGAATCTGTCCGGACTTATCTCTTTTGTCGTTAATTTCAGGTAACGTGGTATTCTGTTGACCTGTGCTTTTATGTGACTAGCAGTAAGAACATTTTTGATTCTAAGTGGCACTTCATGACAGTTTTCGTCCAAATTCCCTATGCTTTTTAGAAGTATATTCTTCCCTTTATTCTACTGTGTTCTGTAGTACTAGGAAGAACTGACTTCTTTATTCGTGGGGTATTTTACCCACGATCTATGTTTACTGTTTTTTTTTTCTCCTAAGCTTTCTGGTCAGTTACATGGCGTTCTTATTCAGTCCTAAATTCTTCCGCGTTGTTGACCTATGAGGAGTTTCAAGGAGCTAGCACCTGCGCTGACCAAAGAGTTTTTTCGAGAATTGTCCTGATCTTATGTGTGAGGAGGAGCAAATAAAAAAAGCAGGCATCTCCAAAAATACCGAGTTTTTTGTAGCTCCCCGTAACCTGTCAGAAGTAACACAGCAATTCGACCGTCGTGGCCGATGATGTTTACCGCATGCTCCACAGCAGGCACAGTGGCTGCGTGTGATTTCCTTTATGGTGATGGTGGACTTTCTCTGCGCCTACCACACTCTTTCCTCCTCCCCACCTGAACCCAGTGTCATGGGAGATCCAAGATGGCTGGAGGACGGAGAGGGGGCACGAACTCGCAACAAGGTGGGTCACCACATCCCTTAGTCTCACAAATGAATGACTAGAGTTTTACGCAAAAAAAGAGAGGGAACGACTCGGGTACAAACTGAATGGAATTGCGATAAAGGTAAAATTAAGAAGGAGCCATCACAGTCCGAACTTCAGTCCACCAGTCGGCCACTCCGCGCAAAGAACACTGGGATGACTGCAGGTCCTGAGTTGAGGTGTCTGGCGTGTGCCTATGGTGCGCGATGTTTGGCGTGTTTGTGTGTTATTTGGAAATTTTCTAGTGATGTGGTCTAGTCTGCGGCGACTTTCCACAGACTTTCATGGAGGCGCAAGTGACCGAGTAGGCCATGCGATGGTCTGGTGTGCGTGGCCGATGCGGACAGTTGAGGCAGTACTGAACAATCTGTGATGGTGCTCCTGGCGCTGGTGCGGCAGTCGAAGTTCGATGAATTCGCAAATGACCGAGCAAGTCCACACGTGACGCGAATGTGCTAGCACTATGAGGACAGATTTAGATTGAGTCCACACTACGGGTGGTGATATGAGGTACTGGTTGGCAGTGCGTTGTGAATTTTCTTGTCCGTGACGGGAGTGGGAGAAGTGTTAATCGACGTCGTCGTGGCAGGGATGCTGGAGGCGATGTGATCGCAGAAAGCGGGGTGTCGAAAATGTGGTCGCCATAGATGCTGTCACGATTGGGGCAGGAGTGATGAGAGTGCGTTTATGGAGGCAACAAGTGTGGTTGTGTGCTGTGTTTGCACTGAGTCCGCAAATCTCCGACGAGATTGGTCCGCGCGCTTAATATTAACCGGCTGCTTGGGCATGTGGAGAGGGGGATTGGTTGCTAGTGCTGTGGGTTGGAGCCACCTGTGCCTCACGAGCCAGCCGGCGATTCGGTTGACTGTATACATTGCTGATCTTGTCTCCACTATTCTACTCCAGACCATTTGGTCCTGGGAGAG